CCGCTGGATGCAACACATAAGACTATGTCGCCTTTGGATCTCAAACCAGCAGATAAAGTCCTCTACAGGTACGTCTTCCCAGTTCCACCATAACCATATACAAAAAAGAGCCCTCCTTGGTCGGATTCAACAGCGGACATAATTCTTGAGTAGACACTCCTCTGTTCGGCTGTCATTTTCTTAAGAAGCATATCGTGTTCACCAGCGAGGGCCTTTCGATAATAATTCAATTCATCCAAAATTAGACGATTCGAACTTGAATTGATGTTCTCCCTATCCAGAAATGGCATAGTTGAGTATTCACGAAGACTTGACCCACGTCGTCTCAATAAATTCTCAATCTCAGCAAGGGCCAAGTTCTTGATTTGTTCTTCAGTGAGCATCAAACCTATAAACCAATTATTTGTCACAACCAATCGATGCAGTTAAATTTTGAAAAGTTGCACACAAATTTTCCTAAATAATTGGATAAGGTGATTTCAAATATCAAAGATGAATCGCTTTTGTTACCAAAAATTGTGGACACAATTTTGAATGTACACCACGTCCAAATATCAATTTTATTTTAAAATAAAAATTACACGTGGTTTTATCCAATTTACACACTTTTTTTGAAAGAAAAAAATTATTCATTAAGATTGGAAGAATTGGTTAGAATTTATACAACTATTTATTTCGTAAATTTGTATCCAATTTGCACGATTTTTAAATTGATTTGTATTTAGAATTTTTTCATAAATAATTGACACATTTTTTGCATAAGAATCTCTAAATTTGTTTCCAAAAAAGATATGATTTAAATTTTGATAAAAAAATAAAATATGATACGAAAAAAAAGGGATTCAAATTTTTGTCATAAAAATCCTCAAATTTGTTACCGAAAAAATATGATTCAGATTTTGTTTTTAAAGATTTACATGTGTTTTTTCAAACTTTCCATTAATAGTAAGTCAAACATTATATTTATTTGGTCAAATTTTCTATTAATATATTTTTCCAACAACCTCTTTATATATATATAGATATAGATATAGATATAGATATAGATATAGATATAGATTAATCAAAACCAATATATTCAACCAAAACTCATATCCAAGCAACCCTTAATCAAAATGAGGACCATGAGCTATCAATACTACAATGATTAATGTGCCGATGAAAGAAAATACATATCATATGATTTAGTTATTGTCTAACATCCTGACGTGTAATTATACATTCTAATCTAATTTTGTATGTATAAATATTATACAAATCCTTTTTTTTGTCTATTTTTTTTCTTCCTAACCTTTTTTTTTTCTCCATTTTTGGGTGATTCACTTCTTCATTGCACACACCTACTTTAACTGTCCCGATAATCATAATTAGAAATTTAGAATAACGAATATTATTTTATATTGCACATGGAGTCTATTTTTCAAGTTCCAAATGACGCTAGGAGATTTCTATCATTCTATGCCGCGGGGTTGTAGATTTTGAGAAACTAATTTATATTTATATTCGTACGTAACTCACATGATACATTATATAAACTAAACTATAATACGATTAATTGCAATAAAATCTTAAAATAGAATATTCAAAGTATTGTATTTATATAATATGATTAGTATCTTTTTATTTTATAATTATTGAATATTTCATGTGTAAAAAATAAAACTTATTTTTGATATATTTTAGAGATTTATAGATGATATTATTTATTTCAACTAGTACGTACCCCGTGCGATGCACGAGACAAAGATATTAAATAAGTTATTTTCACACCCTTGTCCGTTTAAGTCTAAAAAATAATAGAGTTATTATCTATTTTCTACCTCTTTTAATCAACGTTAAAACAAAAAAAAATAGGGTTATTATAACTTGGGACAGAGATATTAAATGAGTTATTTTTACACCCTTGTTCGTTTAAGTCTAAAAAATAATAGAGTTATTATCTATTTTCTACCTCTTTTAATCAACGTTAAGTCTAAAAAACAATAAGGTTATTATAAGTTTTTTCTACATCTTTTAACCAACGTTGTTTTTTTAGCCAGAACATTAAATATGAGCATGTTAGGGCTAGCTTGTAAAATAATCAATATATTATCTCACTAAAACATTTGTACTAATAAAAATTTAATTTGAGCATATAAATTTATAATTTGATATAAGAGAAAGTAACAATTTTACTTATTGTTGTTCACTATATAATATGTAATTATTATTTTATTATATAATAAAAAGGAATACTGTTAAATAGTGTAGTAGAATTGTTATAAAATTATATGAATTATTTTTTCTACAATATGGATTTAGTATCTTTTTATGATTTGATAATATAACAATAATATATTCTTAATGATACAATCTGAAATTGGATTACAGAATTTCAATACATAAATAATAAAATTTTTGCTAAAAAGATAAGAAGAAAATTTCAATTTCAATCTACAAAAAGTTTAAAACGATTTTATGGGATTTTGCTGACTAAACGGATTTTATGGGATAAAACAAATAAAAGTTAATAAAGAAATATCAAATATACAAAAAATTAAAGCCGATTTTGTGGGATTTTTTTGCAGAAAAATAAATTGTATAGGAATAGTACGTAATAGCATTAATTGAATCGCATAGCATTAATAAGAATTACCATTTACAAAAAATAGTAGCAAAAAAATAGGTCAAAATTTAATGCAGCCTATAAATATTATGTTTTATTATTTTTCTTATCTTTTTCTTTAAAAAATCATACAACATTAAATGCTACATTAAATTTTCTGGCTTTAATTCATTTTATTATTTAAAAAATTCGACTAAGATTTATTAAGTGTGCATGTTTTCATTTTTATTTTTTTTAATAAACAATGAACAACATTAAAATTTCGGTCTCTATATTTATAAAATCTCAATTCAAATATAACAAAAGTTTTAGAATCCCGGTCTTTATATTTGTGCCTTTCAAAATAAAAATATTGAACGCTATAAAATTCTTTAAATTGCATAATCAATCAATTAATTTTAACTTTTTTTTTTAAAATTATTATGTTTTTTTATTAATATGTATAAAGTAAAAATAATTATTTCATCTTTAGATATATAATTTATAATCTTAATATACTATCTTTTGGTGTAGACATTTATTATATGAATCATAAAATATTTTTATTTCATAAAGTTAAATATATTTAAAGAAAAGAAGGAAATTTCTTTGGATCAATCGAGTACTTGAATTAGGGCACTGCAGGTTGATTGAATTACTTTTAGGTGATATTTGAAATAGCCAAAAAACTTGACACAACTTGGTTGGTCCTAGGTGACTAAGTTATGTATCAGTTTGACCATCCCAAATCGATTATTGAACCTAAATATAAATTTTAATATTGAAAATACTTTATTAGGTGAATGTGACGTAATCCAAACTTTAAATAATCATATTAACAATACTTTTATGACAACATGTTAAATGATTTATGAATATTTATATCATTTTATCAATTTTTATATGAATAAAATAATATTATATTATAATTTTTATTAATGTACAGTAAATATAAGGTTTTCAGAACCGGACCGTCATTGCAACGATCAAGTTATTTTATTAAATCATTTGTGGTTTGTTCGATTTTAATTTATAAACATTTTAATAGATATATATATATATAGTACTTTCTGTAATAAATTTAAATAAAATGTATTACTTAAATATCTAAAAAATTTATAAATTCAAATGTTTAGACTAATTGATAAACAATTTATAAATCTCTATTTTATTAAAATATGTAATTTATTTAAAATAATTTTAAATGTAACAAAATTTATTTAGGAAATCGTGTCGTTCCTACCAGTCAAACCGACCGGTGTTGACGGATTCGTCAACAAATATTTTATTCAAGCCAACTAGACTGGTTATAAACCGGTTCTCGGTTTATCCGGTCGGACTGTGTCCAACCCAATTTAATTAAAAAACAAGGGGTAAATTATGATTAATGTTATTTATATTTTTAATTTATAATATAATCGTAATATTGTTTTTCCGTGCATGGCACGGGTCATACACTAATTTCAATATAAAATAATTAAGTAAAATACATGCTGAAAGTAGTAATAATATTAATTGCAGTTGACTTTTCTGGATACCATTTGTAGTAAATAGGATCCTTTTATATAAGTATAGATTTATTCTGTCGGAGAGTACAAAGTAAGAGTGAGAGTTTACCTAAACGCACACACAATTTCCTAGTTTGTTTGGAAGATATTGGTCATTTGGTGATGTCTCTTGTTATAGAACTAGACAAGGTTATAGAAAGCAATATGTATCAAACTCATGTATTAAATCTCGGAAGATCGAATGACAACATCATTCATCACTGTTGGATGTGCATTCGGGTCCAATCCAAGCCTCATCAAAATTTTAGAGCATTAATTGATATCATTACGCTAGAAATTGTAAATAGTTAAAAGTTTAAATTATTATTAAATATATTAATCCTTAATATTTTAAATTAAAGAATTATTATTATATATATATATATAAATCCTTAATCCTTTAAATTAAAGAAATTTCATGTGATTGTAGATAGAATAAAATATTTGAATTATGACGGCCTGACTTATAATAAAAATTTTTTTAAAAAAAAAAACTAAATAATGATGTAGGGGTGATTATTTTATACATTCAACTAAAAAAATAAATTAATTAAAACTCAAATTTAACTCAACTTTAACTCAACCCTACTATCTCAATATTATCAATATAATGAAATAATATCAACCAATCATTCTTATACATCACATCAATTTTAACTCATTATTTATCCACTCACATAATTTTAACTAACTATCACTTCTAATCATTTTTCTCTATTAAATCAACATTAATTATTTTATTTTAGATATTATTTTAATATATCCACTAACACCTAACTATACCATATTTATTTAAAATTAACTATAATTAAAAAAAAATCAAATAAAAACTGATTAAATCCTAAACAATGGCGTCCAGTCTAGAAAGTAGGACCTTTACAACATGCTTCAAAGCGACTGCGACCTAACCCCCAATTATATAACCCAAATTGTCCACGACTCTCCCCAAATTCTCCATTTCCAACACTACACACACTCAAATCCTCCAAAACGAAAAGAAAAGAACTGGAGTTTCCCAAGGGAAAGATCAAATGGTGGCTTTGAAAGCAGGGAGCAGGCCGCCATGGGTGGGCTTAGGGGCTGCGGTGTGGGTCCAAATAGCCGCAGGTAATGCCTACACTTTCCCTTTGTACTCTCCCTCGCTGAAATCAGTCTTGGGCTTTAATCAGCAGCAGCTCACGATTCTTGGGGTGGCCAACGATATCGGGGAGAATGTGGGGATTTTGCCTGGAATTGCCTGCAACAAGTTTCCTCCTTGGGCTGTTCTTCTTGTCGGCGTTTGCGCTTCCTTTTTGGGATATGGTGTTCTGTGGCTTGCCGTTAGCCAGACTGTTCAGTCTTTACCGTATTGGGTTGTAAGTAATTCTTTCGTATTTTTGTTCTTTTCGTTTGTTGTTCAAAGCTTTGATTTTTTTCATGTAGGTTAATTGTGCTGTTGAATTTGGCTCCTGATGATTTCTTTTCTTTTTACTTTTTTACATCATGTATGTGATATGTTATAGTAAGTGCGTATGTGAATGAAGGGTATGTTTTTACTGCTTAGAAATGTTATGTTATGTGATTTCATTATGAAAAAGTGGTTCTATTTCTCTTCTTTTTAACTTGAATTTGGTTTTGAAAAAGTCGTCATATTTGTCTTTGATTTTGAGAAGCCAACGTGTTCCATAGGATTGCGTTTCTCTGAGTGGAATTTGAAACAGATAGCTTGATTGATACTCTTTAGGCTAATCCACTGCAATTTCCCAATATAGTTCTCATAGGAAGTTAAGCTTAGGATTGGCATTTCTTCTTTTTCTTGTTTATCTTTTATTTGTTGGGTTCGGCAAATTTTGCTTATATATAGTGAAGGTAAATGGTCAGCATTCAGCATTACAATGAAAACGAAGGGCGTATCATCATCTTCTTTTGTATTTCCCAGTTTCAACCTTGCCGTCTTTTCTTGAATAATTTTATAATTTAAGCATTGTATTTTTAATTTCACATTTATTTTTCCGTGTCCCCTTTTGCTCTGGGACTAATTAATCAGTTTAGACAAGCAGCACGGTTCTTCCACTGCAGAAAATTTTCCAAATGAAAAATTAACTTAAAAAGGGCCACAAAATTTTCTATTCACAGTGTTTCCGTTACATATATAGATTTTCCTTATTCCATTGAACTTGTGAGGATAGGTTTCATGGAGAAACTGACCCTGTTATCTGTATAACAAAATAACTTCAAAAAAAATTGAAGGTTTTCAGATGGACTTCAGAACACCTCTTATCTAACCTCTCTTACTAATGATCGGCTTTTTGAATCATATAATTTCCTCATGTAAAATTCATTATCCACTTGTATACAATAGCCCCCAGTCCTCGCCTATATTTCACTTTCGATGGAAGACACTATAACAAAAATCATTGAGTTTGTTGACCTGTCCATCCAATATCAGCAAACAGGCCTACAAAAAATCTCCTACTACTCGAAAGGCGAAAATATTAAATTTTTATACTCACTGCTAGTTCCTTTTTTACGCCCTAATATAACCAGAAAACCTATACTGCTTCCCTCAAAGTAACAATTTTATATTAGCTATCAAGCCATGACATCAAACGTAATAAGCGCCTATCGCAGCATAAGAACGATCACAACACTCACTCAAAATAGCATGCACCTAAACATAGTAAATGTTTTCTTCAATAATTCAGTGTATCTGTCTATCTGGCATATTTCGGATACTGTACTTCCATCATTTTACTTCCCGCTCTAACATAGCCTGCATTTCTCATTATCAAACGTACTCGTTCCCATGAACCACTTCATGCACACAAATTCACTTTTCTTTTTACTCTTTTTAATTTTTCACACTCTCACCCGAAAACAGCTGTGGGCCGCCCTATGCGTGGCCACAAACAGCAGCGCTTGGCTGGGAACAGCCGTCCTCGTCACCAACATGCGCAACTTCCCAGTCAGCCGCGGCACAGTCGCCGGAATCCTCAAAGGCTACGTGGGCCTGAGTGCCGCCGTTTTCACCGAAATCTACACAATGCTCCTCGGCAGCTCTCCCCCGGCCCACCTCCTCCTCCTAACCCTAGGCATCCCCACAATCGGCCTCCTCATGATGTACTTCGTCCGACCCTGCACCCCAGCCTCCGGCGACAGCCCATCCGAGCACTCCCACTTTCTCTTCATCCAGGCCGCCAGCCTGGCGCTCGCCGTCTATCTATTAACAACGACTATATTAAAAGACTCGATGTCGCTCGGGAATACGATATCTTACGTGTTTATTGCGGTCATGGTCGTGCTGTTGATGGCCCCTCTGGCAATCCCGTTGAAAATGACGTTTTTCCCGGAGATTCGTAAGAATGCAAGCCAGCTGGATTTGGTGGGTGATGGGGATGGGGATAATGAGTCGAGTCTGCTGACACCGTCCTCGTCAGCAGCTTACCTCGGGAGCTTTTACGAGCCGGAGGAGGAGTTGTCGGAAGTGGATTTGTTGCTGGCGGTGGGTGAAGGGGCGGTGAAGGCACGAAAAAGGAGGCCGAGGAGGGGAGAAGATTTCAAGTTTAAAGAGGCGGTTGTGAAGGCCGATTTCTGGTTATTGTGGATGGTTTACTTTCTCGGGGTTGGTTCGGGTGTGACCGTGCTTAATAATTTAGCCCAGATAGGGGTTTCGCTTGGGGTGAATGATGCCACGATTTTGTTGAGCGTGTTCAGCTTTTGCAATTTCTTGGGTCGTCTTGGGGCTGGGGTCGTGTCTGAACATTTCGTGAGGTAAACATGATGATAATTTTTATTTATTTTAATTGTTTATTTTTGAATTGTTTGGTGTTTGCTGAATGGTGATTGAAATGTGTTGGCTATGTTTGGTAGACAAATAAGCTAGCTTATAGCTTATTTGGTTAGCTTATAAGTTTTCTGTATTTATATAAGCTTTGTTTGGTAAGACGAGCTTTTTTAAAAAATTCGAGCTTCTCTCATGAGCTTCTTTAGGTAGGTTTTCAAATAAGCTCCTTGAAATTTTTATCTCATCTAGCTTAATTTTACCAAATACTTTAATGATATAAGCGCTTTTCAGCTATAAGCTGGAAAATTATTGATAAGCTATATCAGTTAGTTTTTACCAAAACATAGCCGTTGTCTTAGTTATTCCATTTTATTCTCCTTGCTTGCAAACCCCTTGTGCAGGTCACGGACAATCCCTCGTACATTCTGGATGGCTGTTACACAAGCAGTCATGATCCTCACATTTCTCCTATACGTATCGGCTTTAAGCGGGACCCTCTATGCAGCCACAGCACTGCTCGGGATTTGCTACGGGGTCCAGTTCGGGATAATGATCCCGACTGCATCCGAATTATTTGGGCTGAAGCACTTTGGCATCATATTCAACTTCATGCAGCTGGGAAACCCAGTTGGGGCCGCCCTCTTCTCGGGCTGGCTCGCGGGCTGGGTCTATGACTCAGAGGCTGCCAAGCAGTTGGGCTCGTCATGCCTTGGCCCAAACTGTTTCCGCCTCACCTTTTTCGTCCTCGCTGGGCTCTGTGGGCTGGGGACTCTCCTGAGCGTGGTTCTCACGGTTCGGATAAGGCCCGTTTACCAGATGCTTTATGCCGGGGGTTCGTTTCGCATTCCTCAAGGTGGTGGTCATTGATTTGATTGGGAGAGGGGTATTTTTGGTATTATGTTGAGTCTTTTTGGTGATTGCGCCAGGCGAGATTTATGAAAGTCATCAATTTTGTGTTGTGTTTCTGTTGTGTAATTTTGTGTTGTAAGTTATTATAAAGTTATGATAATATAGAAACATAGCATCTGAGGTATGGAATGATTTGGTCGTGTTGTATGAATATGGTTATTTTGTTTCCTCGAATGAGCCACAAATTATTTTGTTTCCTCATGATGCGTGCAAGTGTGTCCTTGAGATTTTGACATTGAATTTAAATTCTTTCAATGTAACTTTATTTACAATTCAATATTCCTCTTTCCTTCTCCGTGAATAATCTTCTCTAGTATTTTTTGTTATGATGAAAGTAACAATTATTTTTGCGTACCAAAGTCGAGCTTCTAATATTTGAGCTTGGAAGCCTTTGTTGAGCCGAACTCGGTTCGTTCAAGTTCGTTAATTAGACAAATTTGAGCTCGACTAATTTAAATATTAATAGTGGAGTTAAAGAAGAACTTCATAAAGTTACATAAAAACTCTTCCTCTAGTCTTTTTAGGCTCTTGGTAAACGTTAAAGAGCGAGGAATTGGAGTTTAGCTTGGTGCATATAACTATAATTATGACCAACTCTCTTGACCTTCTATTTTTGCATACAGGAATCAAGACAAAAGGGTATTGATTGTTCTCTTAGACTTGAAAATTTCGAAAATCATGATGCTCCCCATCCAACCACTCCCAAACATAATCATAACGATTTTTAATTTAAAGTGTAGTCAATGAATCACATACGCGTTTAGGAGCTCTTTTTCAAAAGACGCAACAATGAGGGGCCTTATAAGCTTTTAGAGAGCTTATTTTCACATTTAGCCATTTCTTTGGAAAAAAAAAAAAACACACCTTTTTCATAAGTAAAAACACATATTTTTACTGAAATAATGAGGTCACAGCAGAAACTTAGAGAATTACAAACAAGAGTCTAGACGAAGGTCCTTCAAATCAAAAGCAGGGGACACAATTTCGTCACTCCTACATACACAAGGTTATGATCCTAACTGGGTCACTGACTTTCAACACGGCCCACTAATGCCTGGTGGACCCCAGGGCTGAAAAATGCATGCCCTCTTAACAAAAGGAATAAAATCTAAAAATTAATAAAAAATAAAAATGAGGTTCCAATTCCCAACTGAATCAACCCCAAGAAAATTCGACAAAGTGTAAATGCGCGCAAATTAAATTGAAAATAATAAATTAAAAAAAAAAAAACTAATAACAAAAAAACAATGAATTAACAGAAAAAATTTCAGGTGGGCTTCAAATTCTGGAACATTGTATCCCACCGTATCTCCTCAACCGCAGAGGACCAGTACTCCTCGCGATCCCCACCCTTCAATTTCCGAGCGCCGCCGCCAAAATCCCTCTCCTCCGCCTCCCAATCCAAATTAGGGCTCGCGAAACTGTTGATCCTCGAGCTCCCGAACAGCATCGGGCTCCCGTTCGTCAGCAGCAGCGGTTTTTTACTCGGCTTGATGACCGCCAGCCGCGCGTCCCGCTTCGCCGAGGCGGAGGGCTTCCACCGCCCGCTGCCGCTTCCGCTCGGCCGCGGTACGATTGCCAGCGCCGACGATTCCTCGCCGCGGCGGATCCATGCCCGGAGGCATCGGGAGAGGCGCCGCCTCGTGTGGCGGACGGCGGTGAGGATGCGGGAGACGGCGAGGGGGAGATCATGTGCGCTGCGGCGGCGGATTTTGTGTTTTCCGGCGAGCTTGAGGATCTCTAGGCGGTGCTTGGCGACGGCGATGCCCATGCTGAGAAGGAAGTCGTGATTGAAGTAGGGGATGTCGTCGTGGTCGAGCTCGTTGTGGGCGAAGGCGAGGCCGTACTCGTAGACAAGGGTCGGGTCGAGCCCGGTTTTCGAGAGCCACGAGAACCAGTCCATGACCATGTGAGGTTGTTGAGTTGCGATTTTCTCTCTCTCTCACACACACACACACACACGCAAATACGCCGAGCACGCACACAGTGAAATTCTGGAAGTGTATGTGTGTAACAATGGTGTGGAAATGTTTGCACACTACTTATATATATTGAGATTTTGGATGGAGAGGAGTGGGATACACCTTTTTCATTAGGTGGGTAATTATATTTTAATTTTTTTTTCAATAAAAACGCAATTAGGACCTTTTACAATGACATATATACATAACATGTATTTTCCTAAAAATATGGATATAATTATTTTACATTGTTTTCAAAAACCACGATTTTTTAACTTGGAAAAATTACCTTGATCTACCTAACTACTAACTATTCCACAATTTTACACTTTCACTAAATTACTTTTTTTGTTTTTGTATGACAACTTTGTCTGTACAATTTTGATATTTTGTATATTTTTACCATTTTCAGTGACTGTCGACCCTCTATAATCCAACACGTGACAACTTTTTATCATTGTCACGTTTTGAATTATGAGGCCCACGGTGACCGAAATTTGGAAAGTGTTACAAAAAATAAAAAAATTATGTAACTGAAATCTAAAATTGACAATAGTTAAGTAAACAAAGTGTAATTAATTTATTTTTTACTTTAGGGTGTGACATCTGATTTGAGAAGTTTTTAAATGTGGAGATAATATTTTTTTTATTTGGAAAGTGCATTACTTAATTTTGCTTAGTTGTCAAAATTTTAGATTTAAGTCCTGAATAATGTGTGCAGCAATTAAAGAAAAAAAAAAATAGACTATAATCACTCCGCTGTAACATTTTCAACTTTTTGCCTATAACGATGGGTCATGAAATATATGTGAGAAGTTATGTTAATATAATAATTTTATGAGGACATAATGTATTTAGACTTATGCGTCATATTCTCATAACTAGTACAGAGCATGTGCGATGCACGGGGTGCATAATTTTAAGTTTATTTATCCAGGCTTATAATTATATACATGAATAAAGAAAAATGTACGGGATATATATAGTACGTGACCCGTGCGAAATACGAGATATATTTATTTGAAAAATATTATATTATAAGATGAAATATTCAATAAATTTATAATACGCAAGAAAATTGTACAATGTTCAAATATCCGTGCGAAGCACGAGATATATTAATCATTTTATGATTTGATAATATAAATAAATCTATACTTAACTTTGACAAATAAAACAAATAAATACTTTAATAAGTATTTAATGTATATACTAAATAGGAATATATTTGGTACAATCAAATACCAAATATAATCAAATAAGTCAAAGTGTATATTTTTATTTGGTATTTAATTTTTTTATTATTAAAATATTTTTATTATACTTACCTTTTTAAAATAAAACAAATAAATAAATCAATTAAATAAATAAAGTATTATAATACCAAAATAGTAATGGCATTTAATGCAGTTGACTTTTCTGGATACTAAATGTAGTAAAAAGAATCTCCTTTTATATAAGTATAGATTGTATAATACGGAAATAGTAATGCAATAAATGTTGTTGATTTTTCTTTATACTAAATCTGGTAAATGATATACTTTTTAATATTAATATAAGTATATATATGCACACAAGTTAAGGCATTTTCTTTTTACATGTAATTACATTATGCAGACGTTGTCTTATTTTATTTAGCAGTTATTAT